TTCTGAACGTTTTGGCATACCTCAGAAAAAAGGGATGTGTGTGTGTGTATGTATGTATGGATACAAATTTCTGTCAAGTTTTCGGGCGCACGGATCAACCGATTTGAATGGTTCAAAAAACATTCGATTCCTATTGATAGGAGAAGAGCTGAATAGTTTTTGGCTAAGGCAGGTCCAGCCGTTTCGGAGATACGGAGCAAAGAGTGCAGAAAATAGAAATCGAATTTTGAGAGAACGGAGTATCCGATTTGAATGATCTAAAAAGCATTCAATTAGTAATGATTGGGAGAAGTGTTTATTAGTTTTTGGCAAAGGCAGGCCCAGCCATTTCGAAGATACGGAGCTAAATATGTAAAAAAATGGCAGTTTTTGAGAGAACTGAGCGTCCGATTTAAATGATTCAAAAAACTTTCTGCTTATCTTAACAAAATAATTTTGAAAAAAAAAATTTTGTATCAACTTTTTTTTTTTTTTAATTTTTTGTATATCGAAAATAATTCAAATTTTATTTTTAATTTTGACTATAGTTCTAATATACTTTAAACAAATAATTTCAACTCTGCAATTCAGTTTATATAATTCTTATAAATATTAGACAATGTTACAGTATTTATAATAATCTATTTGAAAACATTCAGTATTCCTCGAACATTTCGTTACGGTATGGGAAGTTCCAGCAATTTGCCTTAAGGCACGATGCCACCCACCCCACTAGTTTATATTGAGCTCATATTGGTTTTTAATGTGAGGTAAATATTGTTTCTATATTGGTTTTGAATGGGAATCCAATATTGTTTACCAATAGTTTCATATGGGTAAATATTATTTCACTTCAATTTGATAAGTGTTATCGTTTTGTTATTTCTTAGTTTTTATCTTCTAAACAAAATTATAATCCTTATAGTTACCTTGGTCAAATTTATAAATGACAGAGTTATTTGTCAATTTATCACTAATATAAATTTTCCAATGTTATTTTAGATTTATACTTTTTCTAGTACTAATTAGATTCCATTCATGAATGGTATATAACGTCAATGTATACCTACTTCTTTGTCAGATTTTTGTTTTCAAATTTATGAATGACAAATTTAATTAATTAAGTAAGTTGATAATTATTTGTCATTTTACCATTAATACAAATTTTCCAATAACATTTTAGATTTATACTCTTAAAAAATAAAATAACTAAGGTGACCATGCGTCCCGGGATTTACTAAAAGCAATACATGCCCCGGATTAAGGTTTTTTGTCCCGAATTGCCCCGGTTTTTTGAAAACTAATATGTCAATTAACAAAAATTATAAAAATAAACGAACAAGTGCTAATTAATTATAAAGAAAATTGAATAGAATTTTATACAAGGCTCAAAAGCAAGAAAAACAAAAATAAAACATAGATAATTGAATAATAAAGTTCATAAAAAGTACGCAAATCCCATTAAAAAAAACTGATTTTTTAGTGTATCCTTAAGTAGCATTTGCTATTTTAAAGCCACTAAAAATTCCCGTCCCGATTTTGGCTTGAAGAAATGTGGTCTCAAACGTATATTAACATGAAAAACTTTAAAGATTTTTGAGATGATGAAAAATGTATGATAAAGTCTTCAAGCATTTATCCAATTTGCATGAAATGCAAAACAATATCATTTTGAAGAACATTTATGTGGGTTTAAAATCTACAGAGTTGTTAACTAACAAAATATATAAAAAAGTAATTATGAGCCTAGAATTAAAAATCATAGAATTTATTCGTTTTAATTCAAATTTATATATATACTAGAGGACCCGATAGACGTTGTTCTGTACCCACGTCTACAATTCAAAAGTTCAAAAAATTTTAATATCATTAATATTAATATAATTACATCTGCCAAATATATACTGTTGACTTGTATCTTATATTATCTTAATTTCTGGCACATCTCAGCTTCTTTTCAACAATAATAATGTAGACATTGCATTTTCCTTGTATATTATATTCTAATATTATCCTGGTCTATAATTCCAGCTAAATTCAAATTTCAAGTGAATTGACATTTCTAGCAAATGTTTTCAATGTCAAACAATGATAAGTGGTTTTATGTAATTTTTGGTATTTATTTCTATAATATTACTATAGTTTTATCTTTTATTTAATCCTAAAAATTTCCTTTGACAAACTCTTAAAAGAATTATCAAAATGCAAATAACTGTTTAGGAGAATGTATCAAATCATACACTCGCACAGAAGAATTTTATATAAAAGATAATAATGTAGTTAAGACACAAATTTTAATATGTAAATTAAAGCTTATATGTACATGACTACTTGAATAATATTAGGTGCATTTCTTAATTCTATAGTAACATTCTTCAGTACATTGACAAGGAGTTTTTTGTAAAAAAAATCTATCACAGTATTTTGAAAAGTTTTACACTATACTTTCCAATATATGCTTATTACAAAAGTTATCTCTTCATGTTCTATCCTGAAAAAAACCTATTACAATATGATTTATTACAAATTTTACAATTATTAAATAATATCTGATATTATATTTGGAGACAGTTCCTACTTACTTTGTAATAGAGTAATAGTTCATTCATTTTCTCCTTTGTGCATCAGTATGTGTCTTTTTAGATTACTCATTCGGGTGAATCTCTTATTGCATACATTGCATTCATACGGTCGTACTCCACTGTGTACCAGCATATGACTTTTCAGATGACTTACTATTTGGAATGTCTTATTGCATATCTTGCATTCATGGGGACGCTCACTACTGTGTTTGATCATGTGAATTTTCAGGCTTCCTAATTCTGTGAATGTTTTATCACATATACCGCATTGATGCGGGTGTACTCCATCATGAATCAGCTTGTGAGCTTTCAGATAACATAATCGTGTGAATGTCTTACTGCATACATTGCATTCATAGGGGCGTACTCCACTGTGCATCAGTTTGTGTCTTTTCAGATGATTTAATAGTTTGAATGTCTTGTTGCATTGAGTGCATTCATGGGGGCGCTCATCACTGTGAATGAGCATGTGACTTTTTAAAATATCTAATTTTTTGAATGTCTTATTACAAATGTTGCATTCAAGGGAGCGTACTTCGTTGTGCACCAGCATGTGTCTTTTTAGAGTGAAAGATTGTGTGAATGTCTTATTGCATGTATTGCATTCATGGAGTCGTACTCCACTGTGTATCAGCATGTGGCTTTTGAGATGACTTGTTCGTTTGAAGGTTTTATGACAGATTTCACATTTGAAAGGGCGTTCTTCCCTATGACTAGGCTTGATCATATGCTCTTTTAAATTATCTGCTTCATAAGTGGCTGTCTCGATTGACACCTGTTTGACTCCTTCTTCTATAGTCACTTCGGATATCATGAATCTTTCTAAACATGTTTCATCATTCTCAAAATACGATTCAGATTTCATATCAAGAAATTCATGTTTATCATCAATTTCTTGTACTAAATATTCTGGTGGTTCAATTTTAATTGCCTGATTTTTCATAGACATTATTGTTTCTTCTGACATTTTTAAATATTTTTACTTCGTATAATAAGTAAATATTTACAAAAATAGTTGTGTGCTAAACAATATCAATAATAATATATTTTAATCTTTATAAATATGATGATTTCAACTAATTTCAACATTACATAGATTATTTGACATTTAAAGCATAGAGTATGATTTACAAAGATGAGACATTTATCAAATCGCTTTGATATTTAACAAGTGGCGCATCTCTTCAAATTCATTATGGTTCTCTATGTCTCTGCTGCCACAAACAAATTCTATGCCGGAAATGTCATAAATTTAGGTTAATATAATTTTAAAGAGTGTTGATTGAACTAGATTATTATTGTTATTGTTTAGCACACAGCTATTTTTATACGCAGTGAAAATATTTAAAAATGTCAAAAGAATCAATTATGTCTCTGAATGAACAAGCAATTAAAATTGAACCACCAGAAAATTTACCAGAACTTGAGGATGAATTATATGATCCTGATGCTATTGTTAAATCTGAATCGTGTTCTGAGGATGACGAAACGACTTTAGAAAGATTCATGAATTCCGAGGTGACTATAGAAGAGGAAGTCAAACAGGAGCCAATTGAGGCATCCGCTTATGGATGTGATATTTGTAATCGTTCATTTGCAGAATCACATCAATTGAAAGAGCATATGGTCGTTCATAAGCGTAGTCGTAGTAAAGAACGCCCTTTCAAATGCGAAATCTGTAAGAAGACTTATAAACAATTACAAGGGTTGAAACTACACATGAATACACATACTGGAAAGTTTCCCTTTAAATGTGAAATATGCGGTAAGACATTCAATAATAAAGGCCATCTGCCAGGACATATGTTAATTCACAGTGGTGAGCGCCCCCATGAATGCAATGTATGCAATAAGAAATTCACACTATTAGGTAGTTTGAAAACACATATGATGAGACACAATGGAGTACGTCCCCATGAATGCACCATATGCAAAAAGAGATTCACAACATCGTATGATATGAATGTTCACATGATGAAGCACAATGGAGTACGACCTTATGAATGCGATATATGTAATAAGTCGTTCACCCAATTAGTTAATCTGAAAAGTCACATGCTCATTCACAGTGGTGAGCGCCCCTATGAATGCACTATATGCAAAAAAAAATGCACACAATCAAGTAATCTGAAAACACACATGCTCATTCATAGTCAAGTACTCCGCCATGAATGCAATATGTGCAAGAAGAAATTCAGATATTCACATAGTCTTAAAAGTCACATTCTGTCACACAATAGAGTACGCCTTCATGTGTGCAACTTATGCAATAAAACGTTTACACAAAAAAGTAATCTGAAAACCCACATGATCGTTCACAGTGATGAGCGCCCCCATAAGTGCAACAAATGCGATAAGACATTCAAAACGTTGGGTGGTCTGAAGGTACACAATGTTCAGCACTCACATCAATGCAGTGTATGCTATGAGATATTCGAAGAATTGAGTAATTTCGAAAAACACATGCTGATCCATGATAAAGAGTAAACTTATAAATGTGAAATATGCAATGAGGGATTTACGCAACCGAAAGGTTTGAAGAGACACATGGCACTTTATGATGTGAAATTCAATGAATTATTACTAACTCCAAATATGATTCTTTCAAAATGTCATGTATTATTAAATGATTGTAAAATGTGTAATAAATCATTATGTTAATAAATAATTTTATAAATCATACTATGATATTTTATTGATTCTATTAATAATTTTGAAACATTGATTATTTTTATAAGTCAAATGTTTAGTTACGGTACAGGAAGTTCCAGCAATTTGCCTTAAGCCACGACGCTATGTACCACTAGAGTATTCTTTTCAATTTAAATTTTATTTTTTAACTTCCTATAGGGCAAGTTATAGCAATCGCAAAAAAATCGGAAATAAAAATTTTTATGTATCTTTACGATACAAAGGTTGCTGAATATTTTGGCATAACTTAGAAAAAATGGATTTATGTGCGGGTGTGCGGATACAAATTTTCGTCGACGATTTCGGGAGCACCGATCAACCGATTTAAATAATTAAAAAAACATTCGATTGGTATTAAGGAGACGTGTTGATTAGTTTTTGGCGAAGCAGGTCTAGCCGTGCCGAAGATACGGGGCAAAAAGTGCCAAAAACGGTAACTCAGTTTTTAAGAGAACGGAGCGTCCGATTTTATTAATTCAAAATACATTTTATTTGTATTGACAAGATGAAGAACTGATTAAATTTTTGGGAAGGCAGGTCCAGCGGTTATGGACTCTCAATAAAAGTTAAAAAAATACCATTTAGAGGTCAAAAATGTTTATTGGACATATGTACATCAAATTATCAGATATTTTATAGAGATTTTAATAATGTGTACATATTTTGTGTAATTTTTTTTTGGGTTCCGTACCTAGATTTTTAATTACGGTACGGGAAGTTCCAGCAATTTGCCTTAAGGCACGAAGCAATTTATTAGTAATAAAACTATTTGTTAACAGTCGATACATGGAATTCAAAAATGAATTTGAAAAGACGCGCCATGATAGATATCTCATCTTTCTATAAACATACTCTATGCTTCAAATGTCAAATAATCAATGCCAGTTAAAATCATTTATTAGATTGTTTATTAAACTAAATTTTGATCTAGCCCACAACTGTTTTCGTAAATATTTACTGATTAAACACAGTAAAAATATTGAGAGATGTCGGAAGAAACAATTATGTCTATGAATGTCCAGGAAATTAAAATTGAACCACCAGGATATTCAGTAGAGGACATTAAACCCGAATTTGTGGAGGAATTAGATGTTCCTGATGCTATTGGTAAATCTGAATTGTGTTCTGAGGAAGATGAAACATGTTTAGGAGGATCCAAGAAGTCCGAAATTTTCATAGAAGAAGAAGTCGAACAGGAGTCTTATGAATGTGACATTTGTAAGCAATCATTTGCAGAACCAGATCAATTAAAGGAGCATATGGTCAATCACCTGCCTAGTCAAAGCGAAGAAAGACCTTTCAAATGTGAAATCTGTAACAAGACTTTCAAACTATCAAGAGGTTTGAAATCACACATGAATACACATTTAAGTAATCTGGATAAACCCAAGCCAGTGCAAAGTGGAGTACGTTCCCTTGAATGCAACGTATGCAATAAAACATTCAAACAATTAAGTAACCTCAATACACACATGCGCATGCATACTGGAGAATGCCCCTACGAATGCAGTATATGCAATAAGACATTCAGACAATCAGGTAATCTAAAAACTCACATGCTAATCCATTACGGAGTACGCCCCCACGAATGCAGCACATGCAATAAGACATTCACAACAACAAGTGATCTGAAAACTCACATGCTGCTGCACAATGGAGTACGCCCTCATAAATGCAATACATGCAATAAAACATTCAGACTATTAGGTAGTCTGAAAAGCCACATGGTCACTCATAGTGGTGAGCGCCCCCACGAGTGCAACATATGCAATAAGACATTTACACAATTAGGCAGTTTGAAAAGTCACATGCTCATTCATAGTGGGGAGCGCCCCCATGAATGCAGGATATGCAATAAGACGTTCCAAGTATCAAGTCATTTGAAAAGACACATGCTGATACACAGTGGAGTACGCCCCCATGAATGCAATGTATGCAATAAGGGATTCACACGATTGAGTACTATGAAAAAACACATGCAGGTACATGACAGAGTATCCTTAAATGAAAAGAATGATGAAAATCAATGAACTATCACTAACTTCAAATATTATTGGTATGCATTATTTAATGATTGTAAAATTTCTAATAACACATTTTGTTAATAAATCATTTTATAAATATAATATGGAATTATATTATATATTCATTATAATTGTATTTTTAAGTGCTTCTGAATCAACTCTGACAATTAGTAAATATCAGATTGAGAGAATTGAATCTGCCCAGAAAAATATTAATAATCAGGTCAGATTCCATAATTATGAATAACTAGCTGTAAGTGGAATTCTGTCTTAAGGCAATTAAGGCATCGTGCCTTAAGGCTGGAACTTCCCATACCAAAAATTATTATTTTTTTAAAAACGATTAACATTTTTGAAAAAAAATTACTTTGAAAAAATAAGATTTTTGAGAAACTATAAATTGGACAAAAAATTACTTTAAAAAAAAAATTTTTTTTTTTTTGAGAACAAATTTTTTTTGAAAAGAAAAATGTTTTCTTCATTTTGACATATTTTGCAAATTCTGAAGGTTTTTTCAAAGCAATCGTACTGCTTTCACTGCATAAAAACGAAATATCAAAGCGTGTAAGCGCCGCATCGGCGTCTAACGAAACATTGGTACGGAACTCATAGGAATGTAAACAAAATTTATACTTATTGTTAAAATCTCTATAAAATATCTGATAATTTGATGTGCATATGTCTAATGATCATTTTTGACCGCCAAATGGCTCATTTTTTTACTTTTTCCTCCCAAGTCGTTGGACCTGCCTTTCCAAAATTTTGAACAGTTCTTCATTTAGTCAATACAAATAAAATGTTTTTTGAATTATTCAAATCGGACGCTCCGTTCTCTTAAAAACTGAGTTACCGTTTTCGGCACTTTTTGTCCCGTATCTTCGGAACGGCTAGACCTGCCTTTGTCAAAAACTAATCAGCACGTCTCCTTATCAATACGAATCGAATGTTTTTGAATTATTCAAAGCGGTTGATCGGTGCTCCCGAAATCGTCGACGAAAATTTGTATCCGCACACACACACACACATCCATTTTTTCTAAGGTATGCCAAAATGTTCAGAATCCTTTGAAACGTGAAGATATGTAAAAATTTTCTTTTTAGATTTTTTTGCGATTACTATAACTTGCCCTACGGGAAGTTAAGGGGGTCTTCCTATGTGACGGCCTGTTTTTTAGGGATATTTTAGAATTTTTTCTCTACGACCAGTAAATAGTTAGAGCTTCAAGTTTTTTATCATTTATTAATACATATTTGGACAGTATAAATATAAAATTTCAGCTAAAAAAATTTAGTCCAACTAGAGTTACAGCGCTCTAAACACCCCCGCCTCAAAAAAAAGAGCTCCCACTGTCTCCACGATTCCGGCTGATCGGCTCATCTGACCAAAAAAAAATAAACGGCGTTTTAATTTGTAGGCTTAAAAGCACGGAATGATCTACAATCAAATGAATACAAAAAAAATTGGATGTTTTATAGACATTTGAAATAAAAGTTGCAAATTAGGCGTTTTTTTTTTTTAGTTTTTTTGCTATAAAAAATCGAAGTTTTGAAATTTTTGATTGATAATAGATCATTCCATGCGTTTAAATATATTGAATGTGCCCTGTAAATTTCAAGTAATTCGGTCCAGCCGTTTCTGAGATACAATGGAGACAAGTTTGAAAAACACAGTTTTGAGAAAAACGCGTTTAAAGATAAAATGATCGTTGTACTATATACTATATGTATACTTTTTAAATGACTGTAACTCAAAAACTATTTGAGATATCGATTTGAAATTTTAATATGTTATTTTTAAAGGTATAATCTACTGAAATATGAAATAAAAAAAAATTCAATTTTTTCAACTCATCACATAGGAAGACCCCCTTAAGAAATAAAATTTAAGAAACCCCTTATACAACTAAAGTGGTACATAGCTTTGTGGCTTAAGGCAAATTGCTGGAACTTCCTGTACCGTAACTAAACATTTGACTTATAAAAATAATCAATGTTTCAAATTATTAATAGAATCAATAAAATATCATACTATGATTTATAAAATTATGTATTAACATGATAATTTATTACACATTTTACAATCATTAAATAATAATACATGACATTTTGAAACAATCATATTTGGAGTTAGTAATAATTCATTGAATTTCACATCATAAAGTGCTATGTGTCTTTCGGTTGCGTAAATCCCTCATTGCATATTTCACATTTATAAGTTTACTCTTTATCATGAATCAGCATGTGTTTTTTCAGAGTACGCAATCGTCTGAATGTCTTTTTACATACACTGCATTCATGGGGACGCTCACCACTGTGAATGACCATGTGATTTTTCAAATAATCTAATCGTTTGAATGGCTTATTGCATATGTTGCACTTATGGGGGCGCTCATCACTGTGAATGAGCATATGATTTTTCAGAGTAGCATATAGTGTAAACGTTTTATTGCATAAGTTGCACACATGGAGGCGTACTCTATTGTGGGTCAGAATGTGACTTTTAAGATTACATAAATATCTGAATGTCCTCTTGCATATATTGCATTCATGGCGGAGTACTTCACTGTGAGTAAGCATATGTGTTTTCAGATTACTTGATTGTGTGAATCTCTTGTTGCATATAGTGCATTCATAGGGGCGCTCACCACTGTGAATGAGCATGTGACTTTTCAGATTAACTAATTGGGTGAACGACTTATTACATATATCGCATTCATAAGGTCGTACTCCATTGTGCTTCATCATGTGAACATTCATATCATACGATGTTGTGAATCTCTTTTTGCATATAGTGCATTCATGGGGGCGTACTCCATTGTGTCTCATCATGTGTGTTTTCAAACTGCATAGATGTGTGAATTTCTTATTGCATACATTGCATTCATGGGGGCGCTCACCACTGTGAATTAACATATGTCCTGGCACATGGCCTTTATTATTGAATGTCTTACCGCATATTTCACATTTAAAGGGAAACTTTCCAGTATGTGTATTCATGTGAAATTTCAACCCTTGTAATTGTTTATAAGTCTTCTTACAGAATTCGCATTTGAAAGGGCGTTCTTTACTACGACTACGCTTGTGAACGACCATATGCTCTTTCAATTGATTTGATTCTGCAAATGAACGATTACAAATATCACATCCATAAGCGGATGCCTCAATTGGCTCCTGTTTGACTTCCTCTTCTATAGTCACCTCGGAATTCATGAATCTTTCTAAAGTCGTTTCATCATCCTCAGAACACGATTCAGATTTAACAATAGCATCAGGATAATCTAATTCATCCTCAAGTTCTGGTAAATTTTCTGGTGCTTCAATTTTAATTGCTTGTTCATTCAGAGACATAATTGATTCTTTTGACATTTTTAAATATTTTCACTGCGTATAAAAATAGCTGTGCGCTAAACAATAACAATAATAATCTAGTTTAATCAACACTCTTTTAAAATAGGTTAACCTAAATTTATATGACATTTCCAGCATAGAATTTGTTTGTAGCAGTAGAGACATAGAGAACCATAATTTAAAAAGAGGCGCCATTGTCTCGAAATGTTGCACATTACGACGCTAGAGGCGCTAGTGTTCGTAGCAGGTTGCAGAACATTTTGCAAAAGTTTTAAATATCAGATACTTTTGGTTCATGTACATGCCGATATATGAGTTTAAACCCATTTATATCTTACTTATATGTAACAAGCCTAAATCATGAAAAGAGATGTGTGCAATTTTTTAATTATAAATATGATACACATATTTAAACGTAAATTATCTACATATATATAAAAATAAGTCGGGTTTTCTTTCGTGACGATAGTAGGCACGAACCGATTTCGACAATTTTGCATTCGTTGGAAAGGTCTTGGGCTCCGTATGGTTTATAGCTAAGAAAATTAGGGGTGGCATCGTGCCTCAATACAAATTGCTGGAACTTCACGCACCGTAATTAAAAATTCGAGTAATGACATTAGTGAGAATTATCAGAATTATGCTTGCAATTGAGTCAACGAGCAATTCTTGCCGCAAAGAATAATAATACATTCAGTTCATGCACTGAATTTCACCATTTTTTCAAAAATTGCTGGTGACATACCAATGATTCCGACTGATCTTTCGTTTGACTTCAAACAAGCGTTCGCAATGACAATTAATAAGTCGCAAGGCCAATCGCTTAGTGTTTGCGGGATAAATTTCAAATAGATTATTTAGAAAATCATTGTTTTTCACATGGGCAGTTATACGTTGCCTGTTCACGAGCTGGGAAACCATCCGCTTTGTTTGTGTTAACGTCAGACCAGAAAACAAAAAATGTGGTTTACCAAAGGGCACTTCAATGAAACGGATAATTTGCGGATTCACTTTCATTTACTTAGAGAAGTTCAACTAAAAAACACTTCATTTTTGTAATCAAAATATATTTTTTTACTGTTGTGTAATAAAATCAAATTTTTCCATTTCAAATATAAAATAAACAAAAAATTTCTTCATCTTTCTCACGAAACCATCTGGTGGCGAAACGGAGTTCGTCGGGTTTGCTAGTTCGATATATAAATGATATCACTACACCAAAACATAATAAGGCTCTAAAGACTTTGTTCAATGAATAGTTTCTTTCTGAAAACATTTCAAAATTTCGTCAGGAAGGAAAACCCGACTTATTTTTATATATATATAGAAGATATACACACACACACACATATATATATATATATATATATATATATATATATATATATTCTATTGATGTCCATGACATTTTGAATAAAATCATAAATTTCATGTCTGTAAACAATGCTTTTAAATATTATTTTACTGATGTATATGTTGGTTAAGTAGTTAGTTAAAAATTAAGTCGAAAATTTGAATTGTGCCCCAAAAATCAGTTTCAGTATCATTTCACTTTGGGCAATAAAAATGCCATCTGGAAATACTATAATGTTATTATTACAAAATCCATTTATTAAAATTCAGTTTTAATTCAACTCTCAATGAGTAACAATTACATGTGAAAAAGTGGGATTTATCAAAATTATTTTAGTGTATTTATATTTGTGATGGTTTTTAGGCTCAAATAAATTTATTTGAAACTTTTTGAAGAAAATGTTATGTTTTAAGTCGTTCTGAATAGTTTTAAACCATGTGTAAGTGCCATTTTGCTATAAGGCAAGTTGCATAATCTTAATAATCGACTTATGAAATAATTGAATTTTCGTAACTTCTAAAACTGTTGACTGTCTTTTTTTTTTAAGTAAAGCTATTACAAAATTCATTATTTCAAACTTTTCAAAAATTAATTACTATTTATTATTAAAAATTTTAATTACACTATTACCAAAAATAAAATCAGCACGATACCAACTTGATATATTTCGAACAGTTTTTGAGTTTTCAAAATTAATTCAGGACTTTTGGCAAAAACCTTAATGAAAAATGTAGTACTTGTTAATTATAAAGAAATGGCTTAACAAATCTTTATACAAAACTAATCAATTAAGTCCTCATTGAATTTCATCGAATGGATTTTAAATCTTTAGATTGGTGCAGCCTTTTTTAAAATTTTTTTCACAAAATATCAAATTTCACAATTCATTTTTTAATTTTTTTCTAATATTTTATATTAATATTGTTCACATATATATTCCTGAAATGTTAATTTGCAGCCAATCCTCGAATTAAAAGAACACTAAATAATGATCTATTTATTTATACGTTTCGACAAGGTATGTGTGTCATCATTCAGCAAATTTTTCTATTAAACTAAATAAACAATATCTAAAAGAATTTATACAATGTTTTTTTTAGATTAAATTTAAAATATATGCAACCATGTTTTACTTATTCAATTTATTTTAGTCTATAATACATTTTAAATTTTATCTTTTCAAACTTTGTGAAATTTCTTTTAGATACTGTTTATTAAATAAAAAAATTGCTGAATGATGACACACATACCGTGCCGAAACGTATAAATAAACAGATCATTATTTTTTATTCTTCTCATTTAATTACATTTTTAAATTTGATAAAATATAAAATTAGCAAATCGGATTTTCTGGTAGAAACATCTCCTTCAAGAAGTTAAAAACGTGTCTTGCGTTTCAACTTATCAAAAAAATTTGAACTAGTGGTGCTTAAGGCAAATTACTGGAACTGAAAATTTAAAGTTTTAAAAAAGACTCAATTTTGTTTTAGAATTCTGAAATGATCGGTTTTTGAGATTTTTTAAATTTCTTGAAAATAATTGCTCTTTTTGAAAAACTTGATTCATTTTATACTTTGAAATATTTTGGAAATTTTGAACATTTTTTCAAAGCAATCGCGATATGTTAGCTGCGTGGAATCGAAATATCGAAGCGCGTGGGCGCCGCTTACGGATAAACATTGGTACGGAACCCATAGAAAAAAGAACAAAATTTGTTATTATTAAAATCTCTGTAAAATATCTGATAATTTGATGTCCATATGTCTAATTATCATTTAAATGGCATTTATTTCACTTTTTTTATTGGATCTCCGAAACCGCCAGACATGCCTTCCCAAAAATTCCATCGGTTGTTCATTCAGTAAATACAAATAAAATGTGTTTTGAATTATTTAAATCGGACGCTCTTTTCTCTCAAAAAAAAGACAGTTACCATTTTTGGCACTTTTTTGCCCCGTATCTCCGAAACGGCTAGACCTGCCTTTGCCAAAAACTAATCAGCAGGTCTCTTTATCAATAGGAGTCGAATGTGTTTGAAAGTATTTAAATCAGTTGACTCATGTTCCCGAAATCGTCAACGAAAATTTGTATCCGAACACACATACATACAGACACACACACGCACATCCATTTTTTCTGAGGTATGCCAAAATGTTCAGAAACCTTTGAAACGTAAAGATATGAAAAAATTTTCATTTTTGATTTTTTGCGATTTTCGGCACTTTTAGCCCCGTATTTCCGAAATGGCTGGACCTGCCTTGGTCAAAACCTAATCTCTTTATCAACACGAATCGAATGTTTTTTGAATCATGCAAATTCGTTGATCCGTGCGTCCGAAAACGTGGACGAAAATTTGTATCCATACATACTTACACACATCTATTTTTTCTGAGGTATTCCAAAATGTTCAGAAACCTTTGAAACGTAAAGATATGCAAAAATTTTCATTTTCATAAGGTTAAGTATACGTGGTCCTAAAATTTTATATTGAGTGATAAACATACTAATGTTAATGATGTAATAAGTAATTATAATAAACATGAAATTGTGTGATGCTGTTAAATTTTAAAAATTGTATTTTAAATTAGTTATATTTTATTTACAGTGTTTTAATTTAAGTGAGTTCAAGTTTGTGTGATTAAAACCAATTACATACACCAAAACATTTATTTACAAAGTTTCATCAACATACACTGGATAATAAATATTTTCGATCACATAAAAGGAGTTATAGGTGAGTCCTTTATTTATCATTATATATTAATATGATTCATGACTATTTATTTTATTTTTGCAATTGTGATATTATGGAATGTTTCATAAATATCCCTGATATGTACATTTTAAGGCACTTCAAATTTCCACCCAATCTATTACTATTTACTGTTTGTTCAGCATGTTGTATGCGCATCCCAGAGCCCAGGAAATTTCGTGGTTGTCGATCTTTTTTAATAACTATAAAAAAATAATAAGTATTTTAATTTTATCTACAAATGTGTCTTTTATCTTATCTTACTTTTAAATTCGATTCCGGTTTTAATCCGAATCCGTCCTTTAGCAAGACCGATATGAATGTTAGATCGAAACACATGAAGGGCTGGTCGGTGTTTGCGGTTTTGCAAACGGCTTTTGCAGTTTTTTCAAATTCCCCAACTGTTATTTCACCGCCCAAAAATGGATCTACACAAATAATAAAAGACTTATGAAATATCATTTATAAATTTTTCAAATGTGATTAAATTCGTTATAAACAATTCTAATGGGTTACGATTAATTATAATTAGTTCGATTCTTCTATTTACAATTATATATTATTTATTATTAAAAATATTTTTTAGATAGTCTGAAAATTGTCTTTTCAATGTTTTAGATAGTCTAAAAATATTCTGGATAGTCTTAAAATGTTCTTAAATATTCTGAAAATCTTTAGGTTTTCGTCTTTAAGTAACAAATCCTAGAGAGTTTGAAAATGTTTCTGATACTCTGAAAATGTTCTAGATAGTTAGAAAATGTTCTATATATTCTGAAAATGTTCTGGATAATTTGAAAATGTTCTAAATATTCTGAAAATGTTATGAATAGTTTAAAAAAATCTAGATAGTCGAAAATTGTGCAAGATACTTTGAAAATGTTCTAAATTTTCCGAAAGTGTTCTGGTTAACTTAAAAATGTTCTTGGATAGTCTAAAAATACTAGACAGTCTAAAAATGTTTTAACATTCTGAAAATGTTCCGGATAGTTTAAAAGTATTGTGGATACTTTGAAAATACTTTTTAGATAGTCTGAAAACGTTCTGGATAGTTTGAAAATGTTCCGGATAGTTTGAAAATGTTGCGAATACTTTGAAAATATTTTTTTGATAGACTGAGAATGTTCTGGTTAATCTGAAAATGTTATAAATTTTCCATAAATGTTCTAGATAGTCTAAGAACGTTCTGGATAGTTTAAAAAAAATCCAAATAGTCGGAAAATGTGCTGGATAGTTTGAAAATGTTCTAAATTTGCCGAAAATGCTCTGGATAGTTTGACAATGATCCAAACTTTCTGAAAATGTTCTGGATAGTTTAAAAAATTTCTAGATAATCGGAAAATGTGCTGGTTGTTTTGAAAATGTTCTAGATATTCCGAAAATGTTCTAGATAGTTGGAAAATATTCTAAATGTTCTGAAAATGTTTTGGATAGTTCGAAAATGTTTTTATATAGTCTGAAAATGCTCTGTATAATTTGAAAATGTTCTAAAAATGTTCTGTATAGTTTGAAAATGTTTTTGAGATAGTCTGAAAAAAATGTTCTAGGTACTCTCTGGAAACGTTCTGGATAGTTTGAAAATGTTTTTTATATAGTCCGAAAACGTTTTGGATAATGTGAAAATGTTATAAAAATGATCTGGGTGGTCTGAAAATGTTTTTGAGATAGTCTGAAAAAATGTTTTTGAGATAGTTCAGGGTACTCTGAAAACGTTCTGAATATTCTGGAAATGTTCTGGATAGTTTGATAATATCCTAGGTAGGTTGGAAATGTTCTAGATAGTTTGAAAATGTTTTAAATGTTCTGAATAGTTTGAAAATATTTTTTCAAATTGATATTATCCTAGATAGACTGGAAGTGTTCTAGATATTCTGTAAATGTTTGTGAAAGTTTGAAAATGTTCTGGATAGTTTAAAAAATTTTAGATAATCGGACATTTGAAACTGTTGGACATTTTGAAAATGTTGTATGTAGTCTGAAAATGTTCCGGATAGTTTAAAAATGCTGTGGATACTTTGAAAATATTTTTAAGATAGTCTGAAAATGTTCTGGGTAGTTTGAAAATATTCTAGATAGTCTGAAAATGTTCCGCATTGTTTAGAAATGTTATGGATAGTCTGAGAATATTCTGGATAGTTTGAAAATGTTCTTGGATAGTCTAAAAATACATTAGACAATCTGAAAATGTTCTAAATATTCTGAAAATGTGCTTGATAGTTTGAAAATATTCTAAATTTTCCGAAAATGTTCTTGGATAGTCTAAAAATACTTTCAATAATCTGAAAACATTCTAAATATTATGAAAATGTTATAAATAGTTTAAAAACAATTTATAAAGTCGGAAAAAGTGCTGGATAGTTTAAAAATGTTTTAATTTTTCCGAAAGTGTTCTGGATAATTTGAAAATGTTCTTGGATAGTAAATGCTTTAGCTAGCCTGAAAATGTTTTAAATATTCTGAAAATGTTCTTGGTTAGTCTAAAGATACTTTAGATAATCTAAAAATGTTCTGGAAAGTCTAACAATGTTTTAGGTAATCTAAAAATGTGTCAGTGTAGTCTAAAATGTTGTGGATAGTTTAAAAATGTTTTAAATATTTTCAAAAAGTTCTGGATAGTCTGAAAATGTTCTGGAGAGTCTAAAATTGTTTTAAGTAGTCTGAAAATGTGTCAGATAGTCTGAAAATCTTCCAGATAGTCTAAAAATGTTGTAGTTAGTTTGAACATATTCTAAATATTTTCAAGAAGACCTGAAAGGTCTGAAAATCTTCTGCAAACTTTCTAAATAAGTCTGAAAATGTACTGGATAGTCTGTAAATGTTCTAGATATTCTGAAAATATTCTAGATAGTCTGTAAATAAATATTCTAAAAATGGATATTTGAAAACAATCTAGATAATTTAAATATACTGTGTATAGTTTAAAAATGTTCTGAATGAATGAATAGTCTGGAAATATTATAGATAGTATGAGAATTTTATAAATCTGCTGAAAATGCTATAAATCTCCGGAAAAGGTTTTGGGTATCCTGAAAACGTCGTAAAATGTTGCAAATTGTATGAATAAAATTTAATTTAGCTAAAAATAGTAAATCCAACTACAACAAAATCTAACATTGATAAAGTTTATGAAAAAATATTAAAAAAATAGAACTGAAAACATTTCGCACTTTACTTTAATTATTAAAAATAAAAAAATTATTCTCCTGAAGTCAAAAAATTGAAAGAAGCCATCATAACTAGTAAAAAAATTAACAGGTCCTATATGTGAATATTTTTTAGTGTAATTTTGATTTCCACATTAAAAAGTACGAAATCATCACAACTAGTGCTGAAATTAAAAGGTCTTAAATATGAACTAAAAATCACTTTAAAATTTTCATTAAAAAGTATGAAATCTTACTCAAAAACTATCATTTTTTATTTCACATACCTATCAATCCAGCCCCGGTAGCCCTATCAAAGAAATAGCTGAACGCTGCAATATCTTGCACTTCTAAACCTACAGGTTTTGGGTCGACTAGAGGTAACAGGGTGTCTGCTAATAATTTGCGGCATTTTGGCCAATCTACTTCTAATTTCTTTGATTCTAGCGGAGTACCACTGGAAATAAAAAAGAAAAAAATCAGACTTTTCTGTTGCTCTTATAATTAAATCAGTTTTCAAAGGCCTCTAATATTTTATAGAATTTATTTTAATAGTTCAATTTAATATTATGACTTAAAATTGTATATTCACCTTATACTGTATTCAACATTGCCATACACCCAAGGTTTGTTTTTGATTATAGGATTTATACAAGGGCTGGACAACGATTTGGAGTCTCCATTGTTTTTCGTAAAAACTGCATGCCTGGCGGCTTTTAAACCGAGTCCCAAGTAACTAGAATAGTAACAAATATATTTACTATTGCATGATAAAATATTTATTTATATAAACATACCTATTAGTAAATACTGTTATATTGCCTTTGAATGATGGTACTGTCATCAGATGTGATCCGAAAGTACCTTTTTCTAAATTATTCAAAGACGGAGCAAAGGTAACTTGGTTTGATCCACCTCCTAAATCTAAAGCAGCTACTGTATCCCCATTAAGATGTCCTATGTAAAAAATACAAATAATTAATTAATTGTTAATTTAAATAATTATCACAAAAACACTAATGTTTTTTTATAATATTTTTATTACCTAAGAGGTAGTTCACAGTAAACCAGGACATGATTCCTTCATCAGTACCATCCATAATTTCAACAGCATCTTCATAAACTAAAAATCCTGATTTATTTATAACTTCCCGAACTGCATTTAATATATTTTCGGCTTGCTCCTGTTTCAATAATCTCAATCCTGCTGTAGCCCTGACCATCACTGGTGTTTTTGAGTAATACGATTCAGGAATGACTTCCTTGGCAAGAAATAGCAGATTTTCAATTGTCTGTGCTCCCTGGAAAAAAAGACTTATAAGTATACAGTTAAATACATTACATCTTAACTTGTAGAAGAAAAATTGAAAACGCAAAATGCCACCTAAACCTAGTTTAATTTACCTTTTTTGGGTCATCAGCAAAAGAGGAAAGACCTGGCTTGCTTTGCTTAAATAACTCATCGTCTAAAATTAATCTCCCATCTAAAAAAAATAATAATTAAAAATAAATAATTACAAATTCTAGAAATTTAATTTAAATTTGTACAGTCAATAACCATCCTATAACGCGATTAAAATATGGGAACCCCGTTATAACACACTCGGATTTAAACGTACAAATCAGGCTAATAATTTGTAGCGCTTTCTACGAAAATTGGCAATCGCGTTATATGGAAACCGCGCTCTGAGAAACTCAATTAATAAAACTCACATTTGTACCGCGTTATATGGAAACCAAGAAATAAATAAAAGGCAGGATTAATTAAAAATTGTATTTATTGAATTGAAGAGTTCATATGAGGATATGATAAAAAAAATGAAGTACAGGTAACCCCCGTAACACACGGTAGGTACGTTCCAGAAAACTAGCGTGTTATGCGAATCCGTGTTATAAGGGCAAAAAACTAGTACAAAAAGAGGGGTTACGTTCCAAGAATTCAAAAAAACATGCCACATATCATGATTTTGTAATAAATATTGTTACTTTTATTCATTTTGTTAAGAAATTATTTGAATTATATGATTTTTTTGTCATAATTAGCAAGTATGTGCTATCCAACATGATCCTTTTTTTTGCAAGATATCCTCATCCTCTAAGCAGTTTTCTATACTACCTCCAAATCCGTGCCTTATTTTTTGCAAAAAAAGATTTTTGCGATTATTACTTGCTTTTAGCAAAATAATATTTATATATGTAAGATATGTAAAAGTAATCTTTATTGAACTTTTATGCTCATTTTATTTAAAGAATGGCTTAAAAATTGTTTATATTGTACGGATAATCCTAGAATTTTTGTTTTCGATAGAACGTACGCGCTCTAATAATATATATCAAATTAGTTATCTTTTGCACTAGTTTCATCACATTTATTGAGCTATCGTACGGCGATTTTACTAATTTTAGATTAAATAAAGTTTGCTTTTCATAGGTTTTACTATATTTCTTATTTTATTAGAACTTTCCTCAATTCGTAAACGTGTTATGCGAACCCAAAAGTACCGTGTTATGAGGGGGATGGTCTCAATTCTTAAACCGTGTTATAGAAGTACCGTGTTATTCGGGGGTTACCTGTAGTATATAAACTAAAAAACTGTTTTCAAACAAAAAAAAAGTGCATGTAAAGTTCAAACGCGATTGAAGTAAAACTGTTTTGTAATGTAATCTAAGCAATCATACTCACGCGACACGACGACCAATCACAATCGACCGTATAAAAATGATATCATCGAGAGCGAATGACGAATCATTGGCACTCGACTCGGCCGTAACGCTTTTTTCGTTGCATTTGCACAGATTTACAACCTAGTCGCGCCTAAAGAAGTTTTACTTCAAAATCTTCAAGTAGATGTTTTTTACAGAAAACAAACGTTTTTGTTTTCAAAACTGTGAAAAGGCCTTGACACTACAAAAACCGATGTCGTCATACATTTCTATGATATAAACTTGCATAATAAGCGTAACACACAACATATTGTGAAAGAAAAAGAAGTCGATAATAAAACTTGTATTAAAAAAAAAACTTTCACAGCAATTTTGAGCAAGATTTGAAAGACAGTTTATTGAATAAGACATTATCTAAATAGATAATTTTTATGTTACTGGAGTAATTTAGTCATGTTGCATGGAAGGCTGGTAAACGAAGGGGTACCGGCGTAGTACGGAAACCGCATTGTAGGAGGGTCGACTGTATCAATTACAACACATTTACCTAAATATCCCCTATGAAACCTATAAGCTAAAACTCTGCTCCCCGTAGATCCAGCATCTATCACGACAGCAAACACAGGGGGTGTTTTACCAAATTTTTGTGCAAAATTGTCTACTAGGGGGTGCAGGGTTTTTGTACTATATCCTGAAAAAAAAAATTAGTCATTTATTAATAATATATTAGCCATATTTCATGAAAAATATTAGTACAAGTAATTTTTTCATTATATAAAACATGGGAATACATACTTAATGAGATGTAATCTATTTTATTTATTGATCTATAACACTGAGATAAAGAAGCATAAGTTATATTAGTTAAAACTGCTGAGGTATTTATTAGAATCATTTTTAAAATGATAAATGATGCAATACTGTTCTACTTTATCACAAGATTTTATCATAAAGATTTTTTGAGTAAGACTCCCTCCTCCAGTTTTTTTTACAAAATAATGCTGTCCCCCATAATTAACTGCCCCAAAGGTGGACGTCCCATTAATCACGTGATCGATTTTTTAAGGATTTTTGGACACCCCCTTGGGGATACGTAACAATATTCCAAATAAACCCCCTTCCCCACGTGTATTTACAAAGTTTTTACATTTAATTCAAACTTTTTCTATTTTATTATTTGATACTAAGTCTGTGATCCAACAAGATCAATAAGACTCAAATAAAAACGAGATCTGTTTGATCAGTAAAGTCTTGATGAATACTTCGAGATTCTATAATTATACTAAAAAAAAGTTACAAAAAACATCGTAAAATTTTTGTATTTCGTATGAAACTGTTTGGATTTTTTTAAAATTCAGACAAAAAATAAATACACGTGATATCTTACTAGACAATCCTTTCCCCAGGTTATATTTGGTGGTTTTTTGTCAAACCGCACTTCCCCCAAAAGCCTTCATGAATATATATATATATATATATATATATATATATATATATATATAATTCTTCTGTACGTGTATATGATTCGATACTTCTCCCAAACGGTTATTCGGATTTTGATAATTCTTTTTAGAATTTGTTAAAGAAAAATTTTAAGATTTAATGAACGATAAAACTATAGTAATATTGTAAAAATAAATGGCAAAAATTACAACAAAATACTTATCATTGTTCGACATTGAAAACATTTGAAATGCCATCTGCTAGACATGTCAATTTACTTGAAATTTGAATTTAGCTGAAATTATGAGTCCAGATAATATTAGAATATAATGCAGCAGCTAAGATGTGCCAGAAATTAAAATAATATAAGATACAGTCAACAGAATCTGTTTGGCAGATGAAATTATATAATTCCGTTCAATAAATAACGCATCAAGTCCAAAATTGCATATATTGTTGGGCGCCGAATAGCTTTTCTCTTCATCAACCAATTTCGTTAGATGTTATTGTAATATCATAATAATTTCAAATTAAACACAATATTTTTCATGTATACTTTTATTTTCCCGTTCATTAATACACTGAGATGCTGTCGTCTATACGAAAATTACACAACTGAGCCACTTAAAATTCCATTTTGGCTTTATATAACCTTTTATTTAGAAGAGGGGCTTCACTCCTTTTAGGATATGATAAACTAAATTCATTTATATGTGTGAGTGCAAATTATGTGATTTCCCGATCGAAATTCATAGGAATTAATGCGTCGTATGCAGAGAATCACGTACGCATTAAGAAAAAGTTCATGGATCCCATTTCTGATTATAATACTTTTGTTACTCGATATGAGTTTAATACAATGTAACGAGTTCTTGGGATGAATACAATGTTGAGAAACTGAGAATCGAATATATGCGTAGCTTATATTATAGTTAGTAATATATTAGTTATAGTTAAACCATTGGGTCGCAACAATATGTACATTATTTTTTTAAACTTATGCATGTCGCATTTTGGTTTACTTCACTAAATTATTTAACAATACAAAACAATATTTCTACTTATTAAAAAAATGACTTAGAATTTTGTTTCATGTAACAAAAATACATTTGATCGGCATCGGATATTGAGTATTTATCAAGTTGATCTTAGATTGAATAGTGCCCATATGAACTATATTTTACAAATTAATTCACCTAAGATTTGAACATAAACAATAATGTTTATTAAATTATTAGTAAGAAAAATGTACTTTAGAAATTATATTTGCCGAAAAGCAATTAATATATCGTACGAGATTATGAAAATTATAGACTAAATTATTGAAGCAATTATGTTGTGTGGTAAAATCAAGTGTGATATTGTTCTTTTACTGCAGATACTAATATTATTTTTTCTGAATTTCTTATAATGCTCATACTAAGACCATAAATGCATCACAAAGACAGGACATCAAATAGCATATTAAAAAGTATAGGAAAGAATATTAAAAATTTGGAACTTTTGAATTGGAGGCGCGGGTACAGGATAACATCTGTCGGGCCGTCTAGTATACATATATATATATATATATATATATATATATATATAAAATTCTTTCTCCAATTCGCCCCTGTATTCCCATTCCGGCACTCCACATAAATGTAGTGCTAATTGTTTCATACTGTCCAATATCATCTGCACAGTCCATACACACACACTATCTCTTGTATATTAATAATAACCATAATTATAAATATTAATCTTTAATACCCTGGACAAATAATAATGGCTTCATTCATTTCCACTGAAATTAATTCGAACACAAAAGGACATCTGTATATAATAAATGCACAGGATTTATATGGTGGGCTTTTCGGGCATGTGGGGGGGCATTGTGCAATTAAAATATTAATTGATATTGCATATATGGATAAAAGAGATGGACATGGTGGATATGGTTAGTTGGTTCGATTGTGAGTTGATGGGGATTTGAGTGCTTTTGTGAAAAAAATTGTATGGAAAGAACGTTTGAAATATTTTTTGTAATTCCGTTATATATATATATATATATATATATATATATATATATATTGAATTATGTGTTATATAAATTTCTGAAGTACCTACATCCAGGTAAATGCCCTCTTGGCTTCATATTCGAAATTCCTCTCAGGCCTTGTGATATATTGCATTAATAACCTCTCGAATAATATTACATCCACCTTGTTCATGTTGCACGGATTTATATTAATTATACATGATATATATGTATAATGTATATATATATATATATATATATATATATATGTATATATATAATAATTTATATGCAATTTATATGCAAGTGGTAAAATCAATTGTGATATTGTTCTTTTATCGCAGATACTATATTATTTTTTTCTAAATTTCTTATTCTGATTATAATAAGACCTAAATAAATCACAAATGCAGGACATCGAATAGGATATTAAAAAGTATAGGACAGGATATTGAAAAATATGGAACTTTTGAATTGTAGACGTGGGTACAGGACAATGTCTATCGGGTCATCTAGTAACAGATATATAGAGTAAATAACATAAAAAATGTAGTTAAGTCAGAAATTTTATGTATATTAATTAAAGCTTGCTTATACATAAATAAATACAGTTATATTAATGCTGTTAGACTACTCGAATAATCTTAGGTGCATATCTTAATTCTTTAGTAACATTCTCCATAGCCAGGGAGTTTTTAATAAGAAAAAATCTATCACAGTATTTTGAAAGAAGTTTTACAATATATGCTTATTGCAAATGTTTTCTGTTCATGTTCTATCTTAAAGAGTACTGGTTACAAAATTGTTTATTATAAATTTTATATTCATTAAACAGTACCTAATTTGATTATGTTAATATTAAACATAGTAATATGAATCAATATAATAGAATAGCAATCATAGTTGCTATAATACTTCATTGATTTCTTTGTGTGAAGTGCCATGTGTATCCTCAAATCGTTCAATTCAGTAAATCCCTCATTGCATTCTTCACATTTATAAGCATGTTTCTGTTATGAATCTGCCTGTGTCTTCTCAGACTGCCTGAATGTATGAATGTCTTCTTGCATACATTGCATTCATGGACACGTACTCCATTGTGCGTCGCCATGTGACTTTTCAGACTAGCTGGATGTCTGAATGTCTTTTTGCATATACTGCATTCATGGGCATTCACTCCTTTGTGTATCAGCATGTGACATTTTAAATTACCTAGATGTGTAAATGTCTTATTGCATACACCGCACTCATGTGAGCGCACTCCACTGTGTATCAGCATGTGAGTTTTCAGAGAACCCAATTGTGTGAATGTCTTTTCGCATATACGGCATTCGTGCGGACGCTCACCGGTGTGAACAAGCATGTGAAGTTTCAAATTGCCTAATTGTGTGAATGTCTTATTACAAATGTTGCACTCATGGTTGCGCTCACCCTTGTGAACGACCATGTGACCTTTCAGACTTCCTAATAGTCTGAATGTCTTGCTGCATATACTGCATTCATAGGGGTGCTCACCACTGTGAATTGTAACATGTTTTTTCAGATTACTTGAATTTGTAAATGTCCTTTTGCATATAGTGCATTCATGGGGGCGCTCACCACTATGAATGACCATATGACTTTTCAGATTACCTAATTGGGTGAATGTCTTTTTGCATATTTCACATTCAAAGGGACGTTCTTCAGAATGTGTAACCATGTGCGTTTTTAACACTTTTGATAGTTTGAAAGTCTTATTACAGATTCCGCATTTGAAAGGGCGTTCTTTGCTATCACTAGGCTCGTGATTGACCATATGCTCTTTTAGATGATCTGATTCTGCAAATGATTGACTACAAATGTTACATTCATAAGACTCCTGTTCAACTTCTTCCTCGATCGTCATTTCGGAACTCACGAATGTATCTAAACACGTTTCATAATCCTCAGAATATGATTCAGATTTAACAATATCAATTTCGTCTTTGATTTCTTGTTTAATATTGCCTACTGAATATTCTGGGGGTTCAATTTTGATTGCCTGATCATTCATAGGCATAATTGCTTCTTCTGACATTTTTAAATATTTTCACTCCGTATAATCAGTAGATATTTACGAAAACAATTGTGTGATAAACAATAATAATAATAATCAAGTTTAATCAATAATTTTGACATTTGATAATGATTTCACCAAAATTTATTGTTTGACATTTCCACCATAGAGAACCATAATGAAGTTGAAAAGATGCGCCACTTGTTAAATATCCCGCCAATTTTAAAAATGTCTCGTCTTTCTAATGCATACTCTATGCTTCAAATGTCAAATAATAAATGCAGGTAGATTCAGTTGAAAAGTTGACTTTTATAATTATGATATTAGTGATTAGACTAGATTATTATTATTGTTTAGCACACAATCGTTTCGTAAATATTTACTGATTAAACACAGTGAAAATATTGAGAGATGTCGGAAGAAACAATTATGTCTATGAATGATCAAGCAATTAAAATTGAACCAACAGAATATTCAGCAGAAGACATTAAACACGAAATTGAGGATGAATCAGTTGTTTTTGGTGCTAATATCAAATCTGAGTCGTGTTCTGAGGATGATGAAACGTGTTTAGAAAGATTCATGAATTCCGAAGTGACTATAGAAGAAGTCAAACAAGAATCAATCGAGACATTCACTTATGAATGTAACATTTGTAATCAATCATTTGCAGAATCACATAAGTTAACGGATCATATTTTCAATCACAAGCCTAGTGATAGAAAAGAACGCCCTTTCAAATGCGGAATCTGTAAGAAGACTTACAAACTATCAAAAGTGCTAAAACTACACATGATTATACATTCTGAAAAATGTCCCTTTGAATGTGAAATATGCAATAAGAGATTCACCAAATTAGGTGCTCTGAAAATTCACATGTTCATTCATAGTGGTGAGCGCCCCTATGAATGCAGTATATGCAAAAAGACATATACCCAATTAGGTAATCTAAAATATCACATAACAATTCACAGTTGTGAGCGCCCCTATGAATGCAGTATGTGTGATAAGACATTCAGACTACGAGACAGTCTGAAAAGTCACATGTTCATTCACAATAATGAGCGCCCCTATGAATGCAGTATGTGCAATAAAACATTCACCAAAGTAAGTAATCTGAAGAGACATTTGCTCATTCACAGTGGTCAGCGCCCCCATGAATGCACTATATGCAAAAGGACATTTGCAACTAAAGGTAATCTGAGAATACACGAAACAGTTCACAGTAGTGAGCAGCCCTATGATTGCAGTATATGCAAAAAGGCATTCAAACAATCAAGTAGTGTGAAAAGACACATGAAAATTCATGACAGAGAGCAAATGTGAAATATGCAATAAGGAATGTACTCAATTGAATGATTTGAGGGAACATTTGGCACTTCATAGTAATAAGAGAATAATACTGAGTAGGAAATAACTCCAAATATCATTCTTAATTTCAAGTCAACTTGAAAATCAAATAAACATATCATGAAACTAAAACAAATTGAACTCAAACTTTTAAATTTAGATTTAGAGGTTACTCATTGGTAGTAAATCAAGATTAAGTATGGATAAAAAGCATCTCATAAATAAATCTGTATGGATTCAATTGTGGGAAAGTAATCTAACACCCATAATTCAACAAATACAATGGTTTACTAGCAACAAAATTATATTCAGGACTACAAAATCTCTTTTGTTAAGGCTGTAGTAAAAGTACCACAAGAAACTGCCTTTAGACTCGATGTAAAAAATTACTTAGTCAAAGCAGTTGTATGGTAGTTCGTACCATTTATTATTTTTTCAGATGTATTACTTTTAAAGTTAAAAATAATATTATTAATTATGAAAATCGTGAAGGTCTTGAATTACCTAATGGTGTGTAATTGAAATTTAGAAAACAATAAATTTTGTGCAAAAATGGTATGTATTGTATTCATATTCACACACAAACACAATATATATATATATATATATATATATATATATATTTGTGTTTGTGTGTAAATATATATATATATATTAGGGTGGTCCTTAAAATGGTCATTTTCGAATTTTCTTGCTCCCAGGGGCTCAAATGGTTCCAAATAGATAAAAAACAATTCTCTGAAAGTTTTAGCTCTTAATATTAACGTTTAGATAGAGCGCAATTCAATCAAAGTTTTGTATGGAAATAGCATGGAAAAATTTTCAAAAATTTAAAAAATGGTTTTTAGATGTAATTTAGTGAACAAATGAATGAATAAAACTCATTCATTTGTCGCTAAGTTATACCTAAAACATTTTTTTTTAACTTCAAAAATTTTTCCATGCTTTTTCCATACAAACTTTGATTGAATTGCGCTCTATCTAAACGTTAATATTAAGAGCTAAAACTTTCAGAGAATTGTTTTTTATCTATTTGAAACCATTTGAGCCCCTGGGAGCAAGGAAATTCGAAAATGACCATTTTAAGGACCACCCTATATATATATATATATATATATATATATATATATATATATATATATATATATATATATATATACATATATTGTATAACTTATATAAAGTGTTTTTTTCAGTAAATCTTTTGTAGAGGTTTGAACAAAAAATCCAAAAAGTAATAAAGTAATTGGTTTTGAAAAAAAACTTTTTTGTTTATTACTTTTTGGATTCTTTGTTCAAAGCTCTACAATAGATATATATATATATATATATATATATATATATATATATATATATATATCAGGTTTTTTTCGTCAGATAATGAAAAATATATGATGAAGTGTTCTTGGACACCCATCCAATAATCAAAACAAACAAATTTAATAAAGAAAAATGTTTTTATTATACTAGCATTAAATAAATTACAAGACTACAACTTTTATAAATATATAAAACTTATAAAATTAACAAAAATATAAATATAAATATAAATAAGTTTACACTTATGTTTTTATTCATATTTATAATTATATTTTTGTTAATTTTATAAGTTGTATATATGTATTTATATAGCTTGTAGTCTTGTAATTTTTTTAATGCAAGCATAATAGACATTTGTCTTTATTAAATTTGTTTTAATTATTGGATAGATGGCCAAGAACACACACACACACACATATATAAATATATTTATATATATTATTTATTCCATACATTTCAACATATTATTTTATGTCATCTTCAGTAGAATGCAAAATAATTCAGAGTATTCCAATTTACATTCCACTGAAGATGATACAAAATAATATTTCAAAATGTATAGAATTATAAGAATTTTATAAACTTTTATTGAATATATATATATATATATATATATATATAGGTTCCGGCTGCCTCAGGAACTTAATATATTACATTAATTGCTCTAATTGCAATCTTTTTTATATCAGAGAAACTAGCCAAAACCTGAATGAACATGTTCATGAACACAACAAAAATAGCTCTAAAAATACCAATTTATTATTTATTTATTGGATTAATTGTTCAAAAAAGAAACCCTTATCAATTAATTAAAAAATCCAGGAAAAATCAATTATATATATTTGTATTGTATTACCAGTTAATAAACTTGGTAATTAAACATTAATTTGCTGAATCCATACATTTCAGTCTATATCAAAACTTTCAGAAAAAAGTACACGATATGAGAGCAAAGGGTTAAAAACCAAATACTATATCCATACTAACCCCACAATAAAAAAAAAATTAAAACCCTGTAAAGTTGCGTTCATTGTTAAGATATTTTTACAACAACCCCTGTGAATTATTTGTTAATCATCAAATTATATAACTAAAAATCTTCTTATATATGAAAATGCATTCCGGTATTATGCTAAGTATGCTAAAATCTAAAACTGCTGTACAGATTTGGCCAGTTTTAGTCCTGAAATATTCGTGCTAATCCAGAGGTTGTGGGAAAGGTGAGAGATTATTTCAAAACTGCATAGAAACTTTAGAAGAAGCCTAATTTAAAATGAAAGAATTGTGTGCGGCTCATATGTCAAATGTTAAATGAAACTGAAAATTTGAATGAAAAATTCAAAAAAACTTCTTTGAAATGTTTGAATTGACAATTTGTGGGTTCTCTAAAAATTGTTTGCAAATATTTTATATAGTGAAACAATATTTGCTGGGTTAGCTAGTAATTATATAAAATCTAATACTCACCAAAATATAAAATCACTATAAAAACCATAAATACAATTAGAAAAAACTGGCGTTGTATCTTAGGGCGTCCACTTATATTTGACGCATTAAAACTATGATGATTGTTTGTATCATGTTTTTGTTCAATCTGCAAAAAATACAAAAAATGTTAGTACCATTTTATATAAATAAATTATATATTAACAATCTATTACTACCAGGGTGTATTCATAGCCCATGGTGGTTGAATTTGACACTTAACACTTTTAGGTTAGCAACAGAAATTTGCTTTGGCACAAATGAATTTACTATACAAACTATCATAACAAATCTATTACAAAGCCATGTTTATGTTTATCTATTTAACATTACGTAAAACTTCAAATATAAACAATCCAGTTTCGCCATTAGCAAAATTTCATTAGTTTTTTTTTGCTGTCAGTGCGGCGCTTGAAACGTCATCGTTGTGTTATATTTACCTTTCTTTGTCGCACCGCCATTGTTGTGGGTTTTGTCAATAATATTAGATTAAATTAACTTAAAAATTAATAATTGTGTATTCTAATCACATTAATTTATTTGTTCAAATAGACATTGTCGTTGTCGGTTTTGCACTAACTTGAGTATTTTATTGACGAAACGAACTATTAACGTGGTATCATCGCGTACAGTCCGACGTGCAAGTTTTTTGCCTTTAAAGGAATGACATTTTTTTTTAACAAGTTGTAAACATTTTTGTAGGACGGCCATTGAAGGACAAACGCGAAATTTGAAATTTGAAATTAGAAAATAAATTTTATTTAATTGGGTCTCTAAATTACAATGATAAATTATAAATTATATATTTATAATAGCATTAAAAATATGTATAATATTTAAAAGCAATTATGTGATTAAAGTTATACTTCAAATATGACATGATCGGTTTGTCATTGTAATTAGCACTTAGAAACGAACCTTCATTAGAGAAATGAAGTAATTGTTGATTAATAACTTCATTAATATTCGTTCATACAGTGGATTATGTTAAACAACGCCTAAACAAATATTGTTTTCGCAACTTCATTCGTCATGTAATTGTGTTTGAAGAACTTCAATTAATTAAAATTAACATACATTCATTGACTGCTTGTATTTTTTTTTTACTTTTTTGCTAGCGATATAATCTCATTCTTTGAACAATTGTATCTGTTTTGTCTAAAAATATTTTCTATTTTAATAATTTCAAAGATTTATAGAAACTATGAATAATATAGTAATAATTTTTAATCAATAAACTTACGTTTAGTACACGGCACAAATGTTTAATTTGTTTTATTATTCTCGAAGAACAGGGTAAAATATTCTTCTGATTCAGACATCTTTCATTAAATCTGGATTTGTACTACGATGTGACTTTAAAATGTTTATTTATCATACAACGACAGAAATCTATTCACATACACGACGACTAATCACAATCGACCCTTATTGAAATGATTTCATCGAGAGCGAATGACGTACAATTCTAGCGTAACGCATTTCCGTTGCATTTGTACGGATTTGCACCCTAGTCGCGCCTAAAGAAGTTTTGCTTCAAAATCTATTTTGCGTACAGAAATGATCATCACACATATCCACATCAAATTATCAGATATTTTATAGAGATTTCAATGAGTTTAAATTTTGTTTACGTTTTTATGGGTTCCGAACCAATGTTTCTATTCACTAATTATAATGAGAATAGAGTTTGTATAATTGTTAATTAAAAAATTAGTGGTGTATGGCATCGTGCTTTGAGGCAAATTGCTGGAACTTTCCGTATCGAATTAAAATTTTGAAACCGAATTATGTTTGATATTCAATAATAAAATAATCTTTTTCATTTGCTAAAACAATTGTTTCGTCAAACACAAGCATGAAGTTTTTTGAATCATTCAGATCGGATGCTTAGTTCTTTCGAAACTGCAATTTTTTGCACATTTAGCTTGTTATCTCCAAAACGTTTGGACCTGCCTTTTTTAAAAACTAATCACCACTTCTCATCATTACGAAATGAATGTTTTTTGAATTATTCAAATCGGATTATCTATTCTCTCAAAAACTCGAGTTTTATTTTCCCCACTCTTTGCTCCGTATGTTCGAAACGGCTGGACCTGCCTTTGCCAAAAACTATCAGCACATCTTCCTATCAATAGAAATCGAATGCTTTTTGAACCATTCAAATCGGTTCATCCGCGCGGCCGAAAACGTAGACGAAAAATTGTATCCATACATACATACATACACACACACTCATACACACACATTCATTTTTCTGAGGTATGCCCAAATGTTCAGAAACCCTGAAACGTGGAGAAATGTAAAAAATTTCAATTTCGATTTTTGGACGATTACAATAACTTACCCTAGGGGAGAAATAATATTTGTTTTTTAAAAAAGGAGGATTTATTTTTTGAAGAAGCATCTGTAAATCTAAAAGAATCTTAAACAATTAAAATCTTGTCCTGTATAATATATTTTCAAAATCACTGTTTATTTAATTACATTTCTTTAATTTATTATATTATTACTAAATTGTAACTAAAATAAGTTTTTTATATTAGTATAATCCATTACTATTTCATTTATTACTTATTACTATTTTATTTCTTAATCTAGTATATCTTAACCACTTGTGCTTTTTATGCAATTCAAACAAAATTTATTTAAACGAAGAATTATAGAAGGATCTTTTTCGACTATTTATAACAATAGAATAATAAATAAGCGCAATGAACTCAACGCACTGTGCCATACAAATCTCTTTTATTTAGATAGTATTTCCAAATTTGTCACAAAACAATAAAAATAAATAAATTTTAAATATATTAGATTTATTTATTTTTATTCCCATTATTCACATTCTTTATTTCTTTGTTATTTTGACCGATGGAATGTTAATTTATATAATTGGTAATTTAATTTTTTTTAAATATTATTTCTCCTTTATATATGTATTATATATATATATATATATATATATATATATATATATTTGTGGCCCTACTCCACGTTCTATTGACCACAACTGTTACCATTCATTGTATTTGAAAATTGATACGGCCTTGATAAGCTATGTGTTTAATATTTATGTGTAATTTATTTGATTTGATATGTAATTTTCTTTATGATACACTCTATATAGGTATTAATGACCAACCAAAAATAGTATCTTCTACTAAATAATAAACTACTATAAGTAGTTAAGTTAATTAAATATGGAAATGGTCCTTATATTTTTTTAAATAGATTTCGATTAAATACTGATAAATTCGAGAAGGTGCAATTTTCACTGAAAACACATGGATTTATATTTCCAAGTGAAAGACAATGATACTGCTGCTTGAGATCAGGCTGTCCGAGGCTGGAATCTCTGATCTAAATTATCTAGTTTTGAACTACTGAAAATAGCTAAATAATAATCATTTTATTTAATTTATAAATAAAAATTGCAATTCATTATTTTCAAGGGCGTTCGATCAAAGTTCTTGAAAATGTTATCTTATCTTATCTTGTTGTATAACATTACGAATTTTTTTATAATTAACAGAAGTTATCTTACTGACGATGATAAGATGTTTCAATATTATGATTCCCATTGAATGTGAGATTTATCTCAAACAAATAAAAATGTAGTCTGATTGTACTATTGTAATAAAAAAAAGATATCGAATTTGTTTGGAGATCTTTAAAAAAAATTGAAGTATTTTTAAACAAAAAAATCGTAAACATAATTCTTGGCTAACTTGGTACAAATTAGATCAATATTATATATATATATATATATATATATATATATATATATATATTGTATTCCCAAATTATTAATTATAAAAATTCATTAGAATTTTATTCACAGTGTATGTATTAAGTATAATAAATATGTAATTTTGTCGAATATAACTAAAAGGTTTGTTAGTACAAAATTGATTTTTTTTGCAATTTAATTCAGTCTTTAGAGCTATGGGATTTAAATAATTCTTTCCATATTAGATACCTTTCTCGGACAGCCTGATGTCAAGCAGTAGTGAAATCGGTTCTCACTTGGAAATATTGATGAAAATATGTTTTTTTTGTGAAAATAGCGTTTATCTGTTTTTGCTGCATCAATAAAAAAATCATCAGTATTACAGAAAATTTAATAATAAATTATCACATAGAGATAGGGCAACCAATATTGTCGAAAATAACTAAAAATAACTAGAATGTTTGTTAAATTTGTACAAAATTGAATTTTCTGGCAATGTAATTTAGTTTAATTTAGAGCTATGGAATTTAGATAATTCATTCCATATTCGATTTCTCTCTCGGACAGCCTGATGTCAAGCAATAGTAAAATCGGTTTTCATTTGAAAATATATATGGCAATATGTTTTTTAGTGAGAACAGCCCTCGTTTGTAATTGCTGCATCAATAAAAAAATCACCAGTATTACAGAAATTATAATAATAAATTTATCACAAAAATGGGACGACCATTTGGGTTGCCATTTGCAAAGCCAGGCTCTTAAAACAGTCATCAGCTCGAAGATCTTGTTGAAATCTGATTGCAATTAAATAATTAAAAATATAAAAAATTAATAAACTATAAGTAATATTATTTTTTCTTAATAATCTTTAAATTTTTATTAACTTTGCTTTCATACTAATATCGGTAAAAAAATCTAACATTTATTATTTTAAAATTTGTATGTCTTGTATGATGAATCATTGCAAAAAATTACTTAACAATTATTTTATGAAAAATCATAAATTATATAAAATGCATAAAATAATTTATAAAAAGCACAATAGCTCAAAAAACTCCTAAAAATCTTATTGCAATATTTAAATAAATAAAAATTAAAAATGAAAAATATTTAATTTATTACATAAGAAAAAATATTAATCTAAAAGAAATATTAATGTATGCCATCTTCATATTTTTATTTGCCTTTATATTAGTAGCAAAAACTCCAAACATTTGTTATCTAATTTTTTTTATTTTGTATCATAAATTGTTGGAAAAATCGCTAAACAATTTAAAAAAAAAATTATAAATTATACAAAAATGCATAAAATAAATTATAAAAAATCTCATAAATAATTTCTTTCATAAAATATAATAACAAACGTATCGATATATGTAATGTAAATATTTACTTTTACGATTTCATTCAAATGCATTCTAGACCAAAAACATATGTTTTTTTTGATAAGTTTTATCTAGACATTAAACAAATATTTAAATAATCAAAACATATATTATATTGCACTTTATTGTCGGACTATAAATTATTTATTTTATATAGAGCCATATATTAGTCTTATATGAAAAGGACCAAAAATGTTTTAAATTTAAATTTTTGAATTATGTATAACAGATTTATTATTATTATTATTTTTGACTTGAACAAATTAGTGCCGGTTTTGATCTAAACCTCCGCCAGCTCGATATCAAGCAGTTTGATATAAAATTTTCACTTGAGGTTATAGATTTCATGAAGTGAAAATCGCTTTTTAGTGGGGATTGCAGCAACAAATTTAAGCCAACACTATTATACCGATTATATACTAATATATCTATTTTAACGATTTAATTTTTCAACCTCTCCAAGAACTAATTATATCTTCACACCATTTTTTGAATCATTCAAA